TTGTTTTGTTTAAGGAGGCTAAAGACAGGACCCCAATCCCTTCTTGTTTGTAGGGTTTCTGCTGAGAAATATTCTGTTAATCTAGTAGGTTTTTATTTATAGGTCACCTGATGCTTTTGCCTCACAGCTTTTAAGAGTCTTTTTTTCCTCTTGGCTATAGATAACCTGAGGACTATGTACCTGGGTGATGATGATGATGTTTTTCGGATGAATTTTCTGGGTATTCTTTGAGCTTCTCGTATTGGGATGTCTAGATTTGTAGCAAAACCAGAAATGGGCCGGGCGCGGTGGCTCAAGCCTGTAATCCCAGCACTTTGGGAGGCCGAGGCGGGTGGATCACTAGGTCAAGAGATCGAGACCATCCTGGTCAACATGGTGAAACCCCGTCTCTACTAAAAATACCAAAAATTAGCTGGGCATGGTGGCACGTGCCTGTAATCCCAGCTACTCAGGAGGCTGAGGCAGGAGAATTGCCTGAACCCAGGAGGCGGAGGTTGCCGTGAGCCGAGATCGCGCCATTGCACTCCAGCCTGGGTAAGGAGCGAAACTCCGTCTCAAAACAAAAACAAAAACAAAAACAAAAACAAAAACAAACAAACAAAAAACCCAGAAACGTTTTTCTTGATTATTCCCTCAAATAAGTCTTGTAAACTTTGAGATTTCTCTTGTTCCTCAGGAATACTGATTATTTATAGGTTAGATCATTTAACATAATCCCAAATTTCTTAGAAACTTTGTTCATTTTATTGATTTTTTTTCTTCTTTGTGTTTGTCAGATTGGGTTAATTTGAAAGCCTTTTAAGCTCTGGACTTCTTTCTTGTACTTGCTTTAGTCAATTGTTGAAACTTTTCCATTTATTTTGTATTTCTCTTTTTTTTTTTTTTTTTTTTGAGACGGAGTTTCGCTCTTGTTACCCAGGCTGGAGTGCAATGGCACGATCTCGGCTCACCGCAACCTCTGCCTCCTGGGTTCAGGCAATTCTCCTGCCTCAGCCTCCTGAGTAGCTTGGATTACAGGCATGTGCCACCATGCCCAGCTACTTTTTTTGTATTTTTAGTAGAGACAAGGTTTCACCATATTGACCAGGATGGTCTCGATCTCTTGACCTCGTGATCCACCCGCCTCGGCCTCCCAAAGTGCTGGGATTACAGGCTTGAGCCACCGCACCCAGCCCATTTTGTATTTCTCTAAGTGTATCTTTCATTTCTAGAAGTGGTGATTGTTTTTATGTATAATATCTACTTCTCTGGAGAGTTTTCATCCATATTTTGTATCGATTTTAAAATTTAAGTTGGTTTTCACCTTTCTCTGGTAACTCTTTGAGTAGCTTAATTATTTTACTTTTTGAAATCTTTATCTGGTAATTCAGACATTTCTTCTTAGTTTGCATCCATTATTAGAAAGCTAGTGTGACCTTTTGGTGATTTTATTAGAACCTTGTCTTACCAGGTGAGGTGATTCATGTCTGTAATCCCAGCACTTTGGGAGGCCAAGGTGGGTGGATCACCTGAAGTTAGGTGTTCAAGACCGGGCTGGTCAACATAGTGAAAGCCTGTCTCTGCTAAATACAGAAAAATTAGCCAGGTGTAGTGGCAGGTCCCTGTAATCCCAGCTACTCAAGAGGCTGAGGCAGGAGAATCACTTGAACCCAGGAGGCAGAGGTTGCAGCGAGCCAAGATCATGCCATTGTGCTCCAGCCTGGGCAACAAGAGCAAAATATCATCTCAAAAAAAAAAAAAAAAAAAAAAAAAGACCTTGCCTTGTCATATTAGCAGAATTACTTTTCTGGTTCCCTCTCACTTGAGTAGACTGTCTCAGTAAAAATATCTAGAACTCATGGGTTGCTGTTCAGATTCTTTTGTCCCATGGGGTGACAAAGGTGTCTCCCCCTTTCCCTATTGTTGGGGCTTTCTGTGAACCAGGCTACAGTGATACTGCTCTTCTGGGTCTAGCAACCAAGCGTGGCACCACAGCTCCAGGCTGGCATTGAGGTATATCTGCGAAGAACCCTGTCATGTGATCTCTCTTCAGGCCTCACAGCCGTGGATATCAGCAGCTGCTCCACTGGAAGTGGCAGGGATGTGAAGAGGACTCTGTGGCAGACCTTGGTTACAGTTTTGTTTAGTGCACTGGTTTTCTCAAATGCTGGTCATGCAAGAAGTAAAGTTTCACATGGACAGGCTCAGGGCCTCTGATTAGCCAGGATGTTACAGGTGGTGGAATTTGCTGTTGTTTCATCCTTCCTTGGAGCAGAGTTGTTCTGTTATGAGTAGCTCTGATGGCTTGTGTCAGTCAGCCTCCAGCAGAGGTGGTGCTTTCAAGAGGGCACCAGCTGAGATGGTAGAAAAGGGAGAATAGGCTTGCCATACATTGGCCAGGATAATATTCAGGTTTCTCAAGTGATGGGTGGGCCATAGAGCTCCCAAGGTGTGGGGAACATTCCCGTGTGAGACCCCCAAAAGGCGTGAGTCTCACTATATGGTGAGTTTGATCCCAAACACAGTTTCCTACTGGAGGCAGTCGAGCTATCAAAAAAAGGAACTGAAAGATGGATGATCAGTTTCTATTATCAACCACGATATCGTTTGGGCCTAAAACTATGCGGTGCTGCTAGACCGAGTGACTCCCTACCAGCAACCAGTTTCTGCTTTTAATCTTTATGACTCTTTCTTTAAGTATAGTTTTAAACTTTTTTTTACTTGCCTGACTGCCTTGTACCCTAGATAATGGTTTAACTGTGGGGATATTTGCAAAGCAAATGCCACCATGCAGGATGGCTTTGATTCCTGACTCGGAGACTCCTGAATGGAGGAGTTAAGTTGAGTCAGGAGCAGACAAAGGAGAATCTGGTTAAAAGATACTCTGATGAGCAAAACCAGAAAACCTTTTCACATCTCAGTTCTAAAACAAGATCAAACCAGAAATACCTGCAGCCATGAGGAATAATGTCTGGATGTAAACAAGCTTTGTGATCACAGGAAATTCTGTTACTTTTTACAACCACTGACTGTGTATCTGACTTCTCTATTGTATAGGCCATGTAAGGCATAGATTTGCATTTCCTCTTGCAGTGACGTAAGCCAGAGCAAAGAAAGTGTATTTATTCCTGGCCTTTGAAAAATAAAATTTGCTGTTTAGGCATGGCCTATCCAGCCCTCCAGACGCCTTGCTTTCTGTCTCCCTTTCTTCCGCACACTCTCTCTTCCAGGTATTGGGACCCTCTTGCAGGTCGAGAGACCCCCCGGCAGACGTGCTGTCCCAGAAGGGTCCCCGACACCAAGGGTTAAGGTCTTTTGTCTTCAGCTACCAGTGTGGGTAGAGAAAAACCATCAGGTGGGGGACAGGGTTAGGCAGGTCAGAGCTCAGACTCATTGGGCAGGGCTTGTTGCAGTCACTGTGGAGAGTGGGGGGTGGTTCTCATTCCAATTACGTTTGAAGGGGAATTACGGCTGCCTCTGCTGCTTCATACAGGTAACCAGGAAAATCAAGGAAGCTGGCTGTGGGCCGTTGCAGTGGCTCACGCCTATAATCCCAGCACTTTGGGAGGCCGAGGCGGGTGGATCACGAGGTCAAGAGATCGAGACCATCCCGGTCAACATGGTGAAACCCTGTCTTTACTAAAAATACAAAAATTAGCTGGGCATGGTGGTGCATGCCTGTAGTCCCAGATACTCGGGAAGCTGAGGCAGGAGAATTGCTCGAACCTGGGAGGTGGAGATTGCAGTGAGGCGAGATTGCGCCATTGCTCTCTAGTGTGGCACCTGGCAACAGAGTGAGACTCTGTCTCAAAAAAAAAAAAAAAAAAAAAGAACAACCACCAAAAAAGTTTTTCTTGGTTTGTTTTGCAGCAATACCTAACTAATACGTGCACCCAGTGCAGAAGAGATGTCAGGACTTGATGGGTTGGTTACTGGTTGTTATAGTTACCTTCTATCAGTGGACATCCTAAAAGTACTGATTTTTTTTTCTGATTCAAAGTTGTATGTTTTGTAAGATAATATTGAGTAATGCAGAAAAGCATGTGGACATGTTTGCATGTGACAGGTGCAGGAGAAAACAAATAAACACAGCCTGGGCAGTAGGGCCAGCCAAACAGCAAAACAAGTTTGCCTTTAATCTGTTTTCTTCATATCTAAACACTGGAAGTGATGAGTGGGAAGAGACCTGAAGACATACAGTTTTAATCTCCTGTGACCCCATCGTCTTTATTTACTGTCTGCTCTCTGGAAGAAAAATGGGCAAGAAGTGGCCAGCAGCGGTGTACCTGTGGTTATTTTATTCTTGCTGCCCTCTGCTCCTTCTATGGTCACTATCAAAACTGAAGAGAGATGTTGGTAAAGGGAGGCGGTCCCCCATTACTTCCGGCAGAAAAGAGATGTTCAGCCCCTTCATCCCTCTGCTGTCAGAGCTGCACTTCAATGTGGCAGCTATTGGCCATGTGTGGCTACTGGCTGCCTGGAATGTGGCTGGTCTGAACTGCAATGTGCTAGAAAGGTAAAATACAGAGTTAATTTCAAAGATTTAGTTTCCAGTAAATATATATACTTCATTAATTATTACATATTGATCACATATTGAAATGATACGGTTTTAGATGTTCTGGGTTAAATTGTTACAATCAATTCCACCTGTTTCTTGTTTCTTTTTAAAGTTTGGCTCCTACAAAACTTAAAATTCACGTGTCGCCCAAATTTTATTTCAGAGGATCGCCTCCTTTTCAAAATTGCAGACTGCCTGCTTAAAAACCAGAAGCCAGGAAGGTCATAAAATTGGAAAAATCTGAGTACTCGCTATTACCTTATTTGCTTTTGTGAACAGCCACACAATAGGTTATTTACACTGCAGGCGGCCTTACTCACAAGGTGAAACGCACGTGCTCTGCGGGATGGGCCCGGCCCGCTCCGGGAGGACGCCCCGCCCGAGGACGCTGCAGCGTCGGCAGTCCGCCCGCGCCGAGCTCCGCTTCCGGCACTCGGGCCACACGGGGCGGGGCCTCAGACGTTGCCCAGTCGGGGACGCAGCTTCCGGGATGCGGCGGGGCCTTTGTGTCTCCCGCCGCCGGAGCGTGGCGTCGTGTCTTCGCCGCTCTGCGCCCTCTGCCCGGAAAGGCCGCGGCCCCGTGACCCTGTGATCTGCAGAAACTCGGAGCTGCGCGGCTGAGACGCCGCGACCGCCTGAAGCCCGGACATGGTGAGCCCGCCGGGTCGGCCTCCCGAGAGGGGGGGGGCCTGGCTGGAACCGGCTGGAAGCGACGGCGGGGCTCGGGCCTCCCCGCGGGCGGCTCCCGGACCCGCGGCCCGAGTTCTCCGCGGCGCGGCCCGGCCCGCGGCCCCCTTCGGACGTAAGATGGCGGCTGCGGCCGGACCGGGCGTCCTGCCTCCTCCCTGCGCGGCGACTCGGCCCCGGCCTGGAGCCGTCTCCGGGCAGCGCGGCACCCGCAGGGCCGCGTCTCCCCGGCTGTGCGGGGACCGCGGGAGGGTCGTCCGGGGAGAGTCCTGGCCCGGGCTGCGGGGTTCATCCGTGGGAAGGGCTTCGGTCCGTGGGGTTCCCGGGCCCTTTTTTTTTAAATTAAAAATTCATGGAAGTCACCGCGAATATGTTAGAATTTAATCATGCCGGGCGCGGTGGCTCACCCCTGTAATCCCAGCACTTCGGGAGGCCGAAGCGGGTGGATCACGAGGTCAAGAGATCGAGACCATCCTGGTCAACATGGTGAAACCCCGTCTCTACCAAAAATACAAAAAATTAGCTGGGCATGGTGGCGCGTGCCTGTAATCCCAGCTACTCAGGAGGCTGAGGCAGGAGAATTGGCTGAACCCAGGAGGCGGAGGTTGCGGTGAGCCGAGATCGCGCCATTGCACTCCAGACTGGGCAACAAGAGTGAAACTCCGTCTCAAAAAAAAAAAAAAAAAAAAAAGTATTTATGGGAGTCAAGGTAAAAATATTAAAGAATTTAATCGAAGAGCAATTCAGGAATTTTAGAGCACCCAGCCATGGTTTGTAGTTTGTGGTCCATGGGAAGAGCTTGAAGGAAACACTCTTATAAGATGCATAATGAAGAAAAAAAAAACAAGTTTAATAATTGGTTAGGCACTGTTATGTCGTTTTTTAATTTGTATAATTAAGGTGGAAATTTCCTGTTCCTATAATCGAAGGTTAATTAGCAGTTTACATTTGGTTAAGCCTGAATTTTGTTTCCCTGCAGTGTAATTTACACCGAACGCCTCCCCCATCCCACCCGGCAAAATGCATTTGAGTTAATTTTATTTTATTTTTTTGTTTTTTATTTTATTTATTTATTTATTTTTTGACGGAGTTTCGCTCTTGTTACCCAGGCTGGAGTGCAATGGCGCAATCTCGGCTCACCGCCACCTCCGCCTCCTGGGTTCAGGCGATTCTCCTGCCTCAGCCTCCTGAGTAGCTGGGATTACAGGCACGCACCACCATGCCCAGCTAATTTTTTGTATTTTTTTAGTAAAGACGGAGTTTCACCATGTTGACCAGGATGGTCTCGATCTCTTGACCTCGTGATCCACCTGCCTTGGCCTCCCAAAGTGCTGGGATTACAGGCTTGAGCCACCGCGCCCGGCGAGTTAGTTTAGTTTAAAGTGGGAACCCAGGTACTAGAGCCATCTCAGTCTAATTGCCTGCCACTGAATTATTTTCACATCCACAGGGGAGTGATTTTCCCCTGCAGTTTTCGCATATGTCCTAAGCAGGGTCACAAGGTCAACCCCCCATCTGCCATTCCTCCAACCAAAACCTGGCTTGCAGCAAAATACTAAATTTTCAGTTTCTTCTGACATTCGCAAATGCCAGCTTCCCCTTCCTAATAAATATAATCAACTGTGTCCTTTAGTGTACATTTTCGATGTCATATTTTCTCATTTTTGTTAACACATTTTAAAAGACTTGTTTTCTGTTGTAAGTATTTCTCATGAGTAGAAAGCAAAGAATATAATCCCCTGACATTGTATTGTAAATCTCTGTGCCTCTTTTCTTTTTATCTTTCCTAGGCACAGAGGTCTTATCAGAAAGTTTTTGGGTTACCGTTGGTTTCCCTTTGGAAACTTTATAGGGGGATGTGTTCTCAGCCACCCTTCAGTTTTTTTTCTCGTCCTGGGTTTCAAGTACTGTCTGGGGAAAGATACCTACCATGGCAATGTCTGCTAGAGTGTCTAGTGAAGACCGTCTCCTGGGTCATTTTATCTCACAGGACAAACTGAGTTATGGAATGTGTTCTCTCAAGGGAGCAGGTGGATGCCCTGGGGCTGAGAGGCATCTCCTGGGCTACTCTTCCTTTGAAAAGCTTACCCTTTGAGATATTAAGGTTGTCTTCACTCAACCTGGCTTTCATTTCTTGAAGAAACATTGCTGGTCAGCCAGTCACATGCTGGTATTGGGAGGAAAACACCAAAATTATTTCTGTCCCCAGGAATCGTTTTAGATTTGCGGAGAAAAAAAAAATAGTATCCCAAAAGACACAAAAAACCTGACCCTGCTGAGGTGGTACAAGGACTTGCAAAATAAGATGCATCTGAGATACAGTGCACTGTCTTCTGAGAGGGTGGTTATTGAGCGCTTAAGTAAGCTGGATGGGGTGGGAGAATCTCTCAAGTAATTCGGTGACCTGTCTAGACACATGAGTCAGACAAATCTGTTTTGTTTTTTTTTTTTTGAATCTCGCTCTGTTGCCCATGCTGGAGTGAAGTGGCATGATCTCAGCTCACTGCAACCTCTGCCTCCTGGGTTTGAGCGATTCTCCTGTCGTCGAAGCCTTCCTTGTAACTGGAATTACAGGCACACAACACCACACCTGGCCAGTTTTTTTTGTGTGTGTTTTAGTAGAGACTGGGTTTCACTATTTTGTCCAGGCTGGTCTTGAACTCCTGAGCTCAGGCAATCTACCTGCTTCAACCTCCCAAAGTGCTAGGCGTGTGAGACACCACACCTACTGACAAATGTGTTTTATGATCAGCACTGCCACTTTCTGGGTTTGTCACCTTGAAAAGATTTGTTTACTTATTTTGACTTGCATTTTATCAGGGCCTGAAAAGTAAGAAATATTTACAAAGGGCATAAAAGAGGAGAGTTTCAGGAAAAAATTAATACATAATTGCATACTCTGTTTGTTAAAAATTCTTTTACCTTTTTTTTCCTCCCAGAGTGAGTTCAGGAATTTTGTCACTTCCGGTTTTTTTTTTTTTTTTTTTTTTTTAAGATGGTGTCATGCTCTGTTACCCAGACTGGAGTACAGTGGCCCAATCTCGGCTTATTGCTAACTCTGCCTCCTGGGTTCAAGCAGTTCTCCTGCCTTAGCCTCTTGAGTAGCTGGGATTACTGGTGCGTCCCACCACACCTGGCTAATTTTTGTATTTTTAGTAGAGGTGGGGTTTCACTAAGTTAGTCAGGTTGGTAACTCCTGACCTTGTGATCTGCCTGTCTAGGCCTCCCAAAGTGCTGGGAGGTGAGCCACCGAGGCCAGCCTTGGGCTTTCTTTCATAGGGAGGAGCAAACAAGATTAGAAAGAAGATGGGAGGGGAACAGCAAATGGAGGGAATCAGACTTTAGGGGGCCACAGTGGCTCACACCTGTAATCCCAGCACTTTGGGAGACAGGCAGACGGATCACCTAAGGTCAGGAATTTCAGACCAGCCTGGCCAACATAGTGAAACCCCACCTCTACTAAAAATACAAAATTCATCTGGGTGTGGTGGCAGGTGACTGTAATCCTAGCTACTAGGGAGACTGAGGCAGGAGAATCGCTTGAACCTGGGAGATGGAGGTTGCAGTGAATTGAGTGTCACTGCTCTCCAGCGTGGGTGACAAAGTAAGACTCTGTCTCCCAAAAAAAAAAAAAAAAAAAAAAAATTAGATTTTAGATGAGAGAATGTTTTACCCTGAAGTCAGTATGTTCTTAGGAGGGATATAAAATGCGGTTGTATGTTGGCTCAGACTGAAGGAAGCTCAAAGTGCAGGAGTCTGTGGGAAGGAGATAAACTTAAGTTTGATTAAGAGGTATTTTGTTTTTGACCACTGAAGCTAAATTCAGCTGACTTTTTAATGAGAAAAAGAAAATGTTCAGTCTGTATCTGGCTATGTGATAAGTAAGAAAAGAGAGCACCATCTAAGTCATAATGGGAAGGGTGTTTCTTTCCATAAACTGTTCCTGGAGAACACAAAGGATGGAGAATTTGATAAATCACAGCTACTTACCAGGATTATCTTTGTGCTTCATTTTTTCCCACATATTTTTTCTGTCCTATACATTTTTTCTACTTTACTTTTACTGGGTTGTATCATTTATAATAAACTGGTCAACGTTAAGTACAGTGTTTTGCTGAGGTCTGTGAGCAGCTCTATCAAATTACTGAACTGGAGGGAGGTTATGGGAGTCCCCAGTTTTTAAACAGTATCTTAGTGGCTGAGATCTGCAGTGAGGACAGTGTTGTGGGACTGTGCCCTGAATCAGGATGCTTGCTGACTCTGGATGGTGTCAGAATACAAACACTAGAAAATGAGTTGGTGTTGGAGAATTGCTTGGTGTTCACCAATCTACAGATTTGGGTCCAGAAGAAAGATACCACAGAGGCCTGGCCTGGAATAGAACTCTGGGTTTCTGGGAATGGGAGGCTCTGCTCTCCTGTACACAGGCTGTAACACTGCCCATTGCCTTAGGATTCCAGGTCTCCTGCTATGGTGAGAGAGGACTGAAAATGTAGAGGAAAGAAGCTTTGATAACAGACACCCTTTTCCCATAGCTGCTACCACATGATTCCCACCCACTCACAAACATAACCACTAGACACTGATGTGTCCACACCCTTCCCGGGACTAGGCACCACTCTCAGGAATTTCACCACAGCATTTTTGAACCTATTATTTCTTGCCCACGAAAGTTTCTACACATCTCTTCACATATCCCCGCTTTCAGACATGGAATCTGTAGCAGCAACCTGCTTTCTTCACCAACGTAGGGTTCTACGCCACCTGTTCATAATATCATCTGCCTGCATGGACATGAATAAATCAAAGGACAGCCCCCACCTGCACCACTCTCTGTAGCACACACCAGTCGTACCTACATTGCACTCTCCCCTACCAATGAATCTTTTTAACTTTTATTTTTGGTTCAGGGGTACACATGCAGGATTGTTACATAGGTAAAATAGTGTCATGGAGGTTTGGTG